ATATATATATATATATATATAACACCTCTTCTTTATCCATTCATCCATCAATGGATACTTGGGCTGCTTCCACAATTTGGCTATTGTAAATAATATTGCTATATGCATCAGGATGCATGCATCCCTTTAAATTAATGTCTTTGTATTCCTTGGGTAAATACCCAGTATTGTGATTGTTAGATTATAGGGTAGTTCTATTTTTAATTTTTTTAGTAACTTCCACAATGTTTTCCACAGTGGCTGCATCAGTTTGCATTCTTTTCAACAGTGCACAAGTGTTCCTTTTTTGTCACATCTTCACCGACAACTGTTGTTTCTTGTGTTGTTGATTTTAGCCATTCTGACAGGTGTGAGGTGATATCTCATTACAGTTGTAATTTCCATTTCCCTGATGGTAAGTGATGTTGAGCATATTTGCATGTGTCTGTTGGCTGTCTGGATGTCTTCTTTGGAGAAATTTCTGTTCATGCCTTCTGCCCAGTTTTCATTTGGATTATTTGTTCTTTGGGTGTTGAGTTTTTATAAATTATTTCTATATTTTGGATATTAACTCTTTATCGGCTATGTCATCTGCAAATACCTTCTTCCATTCCATAGTTTCCCTTTTAGTTTGGTTGGGTATTTTCCTTGCTGTTCAGAAGCTTTTTATTTTGATTTAGTTCTAAAAGCTTATTTTTCTTTTGCTTCCCTTTTCTCAGGAGATATATCTAGAAAGAAGATTCTATGGCCTATGTCAAAGAAGTTACTGCCTGTGTTCTTCTATAGTATTTTTTAGTTTTAGGTCTCACATGTATGTCTTTAATCCAGTTTGTATTAATTCCTTGTATGGTATAAGAAAGTGGTCCACTTTCATTCTTTTGCATGCTGCTGTTCAGTTTTCCCAACACCCCTTTGTTAAAGAGACTGCTTTTTCCCATTGGATATGCTTTTCTGCTTTGTCTACATTAATTGACCATATAGTTGTGGGTTCATTTCTGGGTTTCTGTATTGTTCTATTGATCAATGTGTCTATTTTTGTGTCATTACCATATTGTTTTGATGACTACAGCTTTGTAACATAACTTGAAGTCTGGAATTGTGATGTCTTCAGCCTTGCTTTTATTTTTCAAGGTTACTTTGGCTATTCGGGGTCGTTTGTGCTTCCATATAAATTTTAGGATTGTTTGCTTTAGCTGAGTGAAAAATGCTGGTGGTATTTTGGTAGGGATTCCATTAAATGTGTAGATAGATTTGGGTAGTAAAGACATTTTAACAATATTTGTTCTTCCAATCCATGAACATGGAATGTTTTTCCATTTCTTTGTGTCATCTTCAATTACTTTCATCAGTTTTTTTTTTTTCAGAGTACATGTCTTTTCCCTCTTTGGTTAGGTTTATTCCTAGGTATCTTTTTACTGTTAGTGCCATTGTATATGGCATTGTTTTCTTAATTTCTCTTTATGCTGCTTCAGTATTGGTGTATAAAATTGCAACAGATTTCTCTACATTTATTTTGTACCCTGTGAGCTTGCTGAATTTGTTTATCAGTTCTAGCAAAACTTTTGGTAGAGTCTTCAGGGTTTTCTGTGTGTAGTATCATGTCATCTGTAAAAGTTTTACATCTTCCTTAATGATTTGGATGCCTTTTATTTATTTTTGTCGTCTGATTGTTGTGGCTAGAACTTTCAATATTATGTTGAATAGAAGTGGTGGCAGTGGACATCCTTGTCTTGTTCCTGACCTGAGGGGACAATCTCTCAGTTTTTCCCCATTGATGATGATGCTTGCTGTGGGTTCTTCATATATGGCCTTTGTTATGTTGAGGTATGCTCCCTCTAAACCTACTTTGTTGAGGGTTTTTATCATGAATGTATATTGTACTTTGTAAGTGCTTTTATCCATCTATTGAAATGATCATATGGTTCTTATCCTTTCTTTTATATATCACATTTATTGATTTGTAAATACTGAACCACACTTGCAACACAGAAATAAATACCACTTGATTGTGGTTAATGATTTTTTTTAATGCATTCTTGAATTCAGTTTGCTAGTATTTTGTTCAGGATTTTTGCATCTATTTTCATCAGGGATATTGGCATATAGTTCTCTTTTTTAGTGGTATATTTATCTAGTTTTGGTATCAGGGTAATGCTGACTTCATAGAATGAATTTGGAAGCTTTCCATCCTCTTCTATTTTTTGGAATATTTTGAGAAGAATATGTATTAACTCTTTAAATGTTTGGTAGAATTCACCTGTGAAGCCATTTGTTCCTGGACTTTTGTTTCTTGGGAGTTTTTTGAACACTAGTTGAATTTCTTTGCTGGCTATTGGTCTGTTCAAATTTCTGTTTCTTCCTGTTTCTGTCTTGATAATTTATATGTTTCTAGGAATTTATACATTTCTCCAGGTTGTCCAATTTGTTGGCATACAATTTTTCATAATATTCTCTTATAATGGCTTATATTTCTGTGGTGTTATTTGTTATTTCTCCATCAGTTTTGATTTTATTTATTTGAGTTTTCTATTTTTTTTTGATAAGTCTGGCTAGGGATTCAACTTTATTGATTTTTTTCCAATAGCCATCTCCTGTTTCATTGAGCTGTTCTGTTTTCCATGTCATTTATTTCTGCTTTAGTCTTTATTATTTCCTCCTTTATCTTGGTTTAGGTTTTTTTTTTTTTCATTTTTTTTAGTTTCTTTATGTGAAAGGTTAGGTTGTTGATTTGATATTTTTCTTATTTCTTTAGGTAAGCCTGTATTGCTATAAACTTCTCTCTTAGAACCGATTTGCTGTATCCCAAAGGCTTTGGACTGTTCTGCTTTTCATTTTCATGTACATTTTCATTTTTTTCTTTGATTTCATGGTTGACATATTTATTGTTTAGTGGCATGTTATTTGATCTCCATGTATTGGTGTTCTTTCAGATTTTTCTTGTAGTTTTATTCTATTTTAATAGCATTGTGGTCAGAAAAGTTGCATGGTATGACTTCATTGATCCTTGGACTTGTTGAAGCTTGTTTTGTGACTTAGAGTTCTATTATGGATAATATTCCATGTGCACTTGAAAAGAGTGTGTATTCTGATGTCTTAGGATGGAATGTTCTGAATATATCTATTAAGTCCTGTTCCAGTGTGTCATTCAAAGCCATTTTTTTCTTGTTGATTTTCTGTTTAGATCATCTGTCCATTGATGTAAGTGTGCTGTTAAAATCCCCTACCATCATTGTATTATTATCAATTAGTTCCTTTATGTTTATTGTTGTTTTATAAACATGGTTGCTTCTATGGGTGCATAAATATTTACAATTATTTTATGTTCTTTTTGGATTATCCTCTTTATTATTAATATGTCTTTTTTGTCTCTCGTTACAGTCTGTGTTTTAAAATCTAGTTTTTCTGGGGTGCCTGGGTGGTTAGGTTGGTTAAGTGTCTGACTTCGGGTCAGTTCATGATCGCGTGGCTCATGAGTTTGAGCCCTGCATTGGGCTCTGTGCTGACAGCTCAGCTTTGGGTTTTGTGTCTCCTTCTCTCCCTACACCTCCCCTGCCCACATTCTGTCTCTCTCTCTTGAAAATAAACATTTAAAAAATAAAGTCTATTTTTTCTAATATAAGTATTGCTACTGCAGCCTTTTCTTGACATGTATTTTCATGATATTTCTCAGTCCCCTCACTTTCAATCTGCAGAGGTCTTTGGGTCTAAAATTAGTCTCTTTTAGGCAGCATATAGACATATTTTTTTTTAATCCATTCCATCACCCTATGCTTTTTTTCATTGGAGTGTTTAGTCCATTTACATTCAGAGTAATCATTGATAGATATGTATTTATTGTCATTGTATTATTTGTTATGTGATTATTTCTGAAAATTTTCTTTGATCCTTTCTTTCATGCTTTGATGAATTTCTTTAAGAATATATTTGACTTTATTTCTCTCTATTCTTTGTGTATGTATTTGTGATTTTTGATGTGTGGGTATTTGTATATAACATTATTTGTATATAACTACTTCTGCATATAGCAGTCTATATTAAGTCGATGGTCATTTATGTTTGAACCCATTCTTTACTCCTCTCCTCCCCATGTTCAAGGTAAAAGTTGTCATATTTTAGATGTTTTCTTTCATGAGTTCCTTGACTTATTGTTTACAGAAATAGTCGTTTATACTGCTTTTGTGTTACCTACCTTCAGATTGTCACTTATAATGCCCTGCCATGTAGTGTCCTGTTCCCTAGGGTCAGGCACTTCTGGGAGTATTATATTGTGTGTTGCGTGTGCACTGCTGTTTTGCCCTGCCACTTTATCCTTCAGGTCAGTAGTTCCAGAGGCTCTCTTTGCTTGTTGTGGGCAATATTTGGCCTCTGGAATGAATGTGACACATTTTAACTAGGTATGCTCTGGTCTGCTTGTGAAATGAGAGCTGTCACCTCCACGAATGGAATTGAGACTCTGCAAATCTCCTGAGCTGGGGCACTGGGTATAATCCAGGGTTTGGGCCTGTATTCTAGGGTAGGGGGCATACAGTGCTGGGACTGGGGCAGAAAATACTGGGAGGTGGTGTTTTCTGGAACACAGAGAGGGGGGGCTTGGTGTAAACAAGTTAGTGAGCATTGGTGCTGGGCTTGTTCCTACTGGTAGCCCTGTGCTCATGCAGAGAAGCATGGGTAGGAAATGGCTCCACCCAATTTCTTTGTTGCAAGAATGTCTCTCCATAGATGCTGCCTCTGTGGGATGCACTCTGAAATGAGCAAATAACCTCCCCATTCTATAACTCAGGTGCTCTTCAAATCACTGTTTCCATGCTGTATGTTCTTGGGTTGTTTGCTTGCTTTCTCTTAAGAGCAGTACATTGCCATCTGGGCTGCATCCCAGCCAAGCCAACTGACTTTAAAACTCCAGGCTTTAAGCTCCCCCTATGTTAGTCTGTCTCTTGCTCTCCTGGGTGACTGTGGCTCCTTCCCCACTGCAGCATCCACAATCTGTTTCTGTCTTAAAACATGTCTCCATCCTTCCTCCCTTCTTCAATGTGGCCTCTTCTGTACCTTTAGTTGTGGAGTTTGTTCTGCCAGTCTTCAGGTCAATTTCTGGAGTGTTTAGGATGATTTGATAGTATTCTAGTTGTATTCATGGGATGAGGAGAGCCTAGGGTCCTCCTACTCCACTGTCATCTTCCAACAACCTATATCAAACCTATAAACATTAACAATAATTCTTTAATATCATCCAAAATCCAGCCAATATTCAAATTTTTACAATCATTTCATAAATGTCACCATTATTATTCCTGTTGCTTTCTTTATGGTCCCTTTGAATGCAGTCTTATTCTTCCTTCAATCTATCCTTCGTTGGGAGCTAGTTAATTACCACCAAAATAGCTGTGCACTTGTAACTCCCCTCTTTGAAAGAATTATACTTTATCACCCAGCCTTTCTTTGAATTCAACCTTCCATCATATTCCAAATGTAAAAAAAAAGGATAGTTTTATTCTGTGTAAAGGATGAATTATTGAACATCTATCATAATTCAAAACCCCTATAAACCAAATCCAATTGTGAGAGAGAATGAGGTCTTATTTTGTTAACTGGATAAAGTAGCACCACTATCTCCAAGGCCATCTTCAAGAACCAGGGTGTTGCTTAGCAATGGCAGACACAGTTCAAAATATCATTGACATTTACATTAATAGAATTTTTAGGAAGTTTTAAATTAGATTGAGGTTTTATGGGTTTTTACAAATATGTATTACCTATAAAGTGACCATTTAATTCATATTTTTTTAATGTAGAAGTTTCACATTTTGGCTTTGCATATAATACAATTGACAATACTGCTTCATTATTCCCTAAGAATATTGTCTCTTGTTATATCTCTATAGACTCAAAAAATCTCTCTTACTCAATTTCTGCCTAGATAATTCTTATTAATTCTCTAAGATCCATATATCATAGCTCTTCCTCCTTGAAGCCTTTTCTCATCTTGCCTAGAATGAATTTTTCCCTTTACTTTTTCTTAAATGCCTTGAATGTATATCTGCTGCATCACTTAAGGTATGACTTATAAGCTATTCACATTACTATATCATTATAATTAGTATGTTAGTATACACTTTGTGGCTAGACCCTTACATTTGTTGTCACTGAGCTTAGCACAGTACTTATGGTTGATATTCAGAAAATGTTGACTTTAATCTTTCAGGGTTATTATGAAGATTAAATGAAATAATTTGTATCAGTTGCCTGATACAGTGCCTGGTACTAGTGTTTAGTAACGTTTCCTTTCCTTTTTCCTCATACTCCTGCCTCATTTCTCTCAACTCCCTATATATTGTGTTTATGAGAAGAAAATATAGATTTCTTGATTTCATTCTTCACATGACTTTTCAGGGTAATGGATATTTTGCACCTTTCATTTATTTATTTATTCTAGGTCACTGGCTCTGTTCATATCAGAGATCCTCTTAAGACAGAAGATAGAGGGAATATGACATCTCCACCATTCCCAGATGCCAGTCCCATGGAGAACCCAGCACTATTTAGTGACATCAAGATTGAGCCCCCAGAAGAACTTCTGGCTAATGATTTCAACCTGCCCCAGATGGAACCAGTTGACCTCTCTTTTCACAAGCCCAAGGCTCATCTCCAGCCTGCCAGCATGCTGCAACCTCCAATATTCACTCCCACGCCAAAGCCTGCTCTCCAGACACTTGTAGTGTCCACTTCAACGTCTGACACAGGCACTTCAGCAAATATCCCTACTGTTCTGACTCCAAGATCTATCCTGGCCTCCTCTCAAGGAACTGGTGGCCAGCAGATCTTTCATGTGATTCACACCATCCCCTCAGTCAGACTGCCAAATAAGATGGGTGGCCTAAAGACCATCCCAGTAGTGGTACAGTCACTTCCCATGGTGTATACTACTTTGCCTGCTGATGGGGGCCCTGCAGCCATTACAGTCCCACTCATTGGAGGAGATGGCAAAAATGCTGGATCAGGTAAGCATCAGTGTCCCCCTTTCCTGGGCCTCACCTTCCTCCATTTATTCTTTTAGGATTATTCTATCTTTTATTTAATTTCATCCCTTCCAATTATTCTTGCACACAGCTTCAAGAATAATTATTTGTAAACACTGTTTTTATCATGTCTCTTTAGTGCTTAATATAGTACAAATACTCTCTTGTTTCGTCCATGATTCTAAAATTGGGGTATGCATATATATTTTTAAGTTTTTATTTATTATTTTTGAGAGAGAGTTAGTGGGAGGGGGGCAGAGAGAGGGGGCTAGAAGATCTGAAGGGGGCTCCACACTCACAACAATGACCCTGATGTGGGGCTTGGACTCTCAAACTGTGAGATCATGACCTAAGCCCAAGTTGGATGCTCAACCAACTGAGCCACCCAGGCACCCCTGGGGTATGCATATTTTTGAGTAAAATACTGTGTATCTTTCTGTATTCTGTATGTTATTTGATAACAAGTAATTTAATCACATTTCATATTTAAAAATTTTTATTAAAGAGAAAATGTACAAATTTAATGACCTTTTATAATAAGACACAAATGTCAAAAATAGTTTTAACCTTATTAAGGAACACACTCGGATTTTCTAGCAAAATGCATTTATTTGTCTATGACATTAGGAATGCTTTTGTGGAAAAGTTAAGAACATTTCTAGTGCTACATTTCTAGCCAGGCTTAGCACCTGCGTCTCCCAATACCATAACTATTCTCTTCCCTAACAGGTAAATAGTCTTCTTTGAAACATTAACATCTTCCCGGCGCTCTCCTTCATTTGGCATCTATCATCCTCCATTTTACTTTCTCATTTGCCTGTGTCACAAGCGTATGGGCATTCTTCTCAACTAAATTGCAAATTCCTCGAGAAGGAAACGATATTATTTCCCTTTGTGCATCTCTAGAGAACGCAACCCGGTGGTAGATAGTAGTTGTCTTGCAACAAATACTTTGATGAACAAACTTGAAAACCTGTATAGGAGAGAGTTCACATGCTGCAATCTTCCCTTTTTATTTAATTTAAAAAATAAGTTCAGAATTCAGAAAGGAGTAAATTAAGTCCTCCTTTCACCACTATTTCCTAGCCAGTTCTCATCTCTGTAGATGTATCTATTTTAGTTTGTAATTGGAAGTGATCAAAGAAAATTTTAGCCCCTGAGTGGTTCAAAATATTTAGCTTCACCACAGCTCTAGAATTATAATCAGTTTTCAATATTGTGCCTTAGGAAGGACATTGGGAAGTTGGAGTATAATCAGAAGAGAGAGTTAGGATGGTGAGAGGTTTCAAACACATGTCAAAGGAGGAGTTGATAAATGTTTAACATGAATTAAAAAACCAAAAGCGAGATATGTGGGTGGAAATGACTAAAAATCAGATCTTAGATCATTATAGGAAAAAACTTTCTAAGGGTTTTCTATCTTTGAAATTCAATGCCTTGTAATCACTCCATCACCAAATGTAGGAGACTGGAAAACAACATACTAAGCATCAAGTTGCTGAGACTCTGCAGTTGTGTTTTTCTGATTTAAAATGTCATCACTACTTACTAGTGGCTAATTGTTGTAATGGTAAGTGTTTATAACAGTCTTGTTTTTGAGATTCCTCTGAGGGGACTAATTAAAATTTTGGTATCAGTTCTCCTATGGGGAAAGAGATACAAACAAAAGGGGAAATGAGAAAATAAAATCCCTAGTGAGAATTTGCTGAAATCAAGGCAGTGATAGCACCAAGCAATGATATGATGGGTCTTTCAATTGCACCCATAATATCCATGAGTCCATCAGAGCCACTCTAAATAAGAAAAATAGGTTTTAAAAGTTTCAATGTAATTTTAAGCTAAAACCATTAGCCTAGTAGTCTCCAAAATGGTATTCTTACACCTTGGTTTGGAGGTGGGGGAGTGAGGAATGTAAACAAAACAATTGGAACACAAGAATAAGTATCAACATTTCTATTTGTATTTTCTCACTCTTTACATTTTAGTTTGATTTTTCATAATGTATACAGAATTTTAGTCTGCTACTACATTTATTACATATGTGCACACACACATGCAAAGACACACATACATACTGAGATGTATGATTAAAACTTTTTAGTGAATGATACACAATTAGTGTATAGAGGCAACTGCACTAGCCAAAATTCCAGCCCACCAACTTTATTGCCACCCTTAAGTTTCTTCAATATAGAAATTTTGAAACTTTGACTAGATCTAGGAGACTGGTGACCATTTGATTGAGTTTTGTTAGGTATGAGAAATATCAGTGGTTGATAATAAAAGATACTCGAGGGCTTCTCTTGACAAAGGTGGAAGGGAAGGATGCCAACATGTATCAAGCTAAGTACTAGTTATGCATTTCATCTTATTGACTTGTTTCCATTTAGGGGCACAAAACCCAAAGGAGTTCTTATCTCTGAGGTGAACCTAGGCATTTACCTTAGGACAGCCAGATAACTATTCAGAAAGTTCAATTCAACAAACATACATTAATCCTGACTTTTCAGGAGACATTTTGTCCTGGGGGCTGGAGATAGAAAGTTAAATCATACCCAGACCCTATTCCATTAACTTACTATCCTAGAGAAGCTCATTCCAGTGGTACTAGAATGCTCCTTATTACCTTTCCCTCAAAGGAATTTTAGCTATGCTAGAATTTTTTTAAGTTCTTCTGTTCCTTCCATATACATACACTTCTTTCATCTTTATTTTTCTTTACTTCCCTGTGTTGTTGCTACTTCTCATTGTGGGTGGGCTAAAGTGGGAATCCTGAAAATGATATCAGAGGCACATATATTTGTAGCTCACACTGGTCTTTTTCTTTGCTTTTAGTGAAAGTTGACCCCACCTCCATGTCTTCACTGGAGAGCCCAAGTGACAGTGAGGAGAGTCAGATTAAGAGTGGATCCTCAGCTTTACAGGGTGTTCAGGGACTACAGCAAGAGTGAGTACTTTTGTCTTTACTTCAGGCCTGTCTATATATGTGTGTGTTTGTGATAGAAGTGGAAAAATTCTCATACACAATGGCAAACATTTAATGATAACAAAATGTAGGTAAATTGCCTTCCCAGCAAAGGTGTTAGTTTGTGTGCACACATGTGCATGGACATGCATGTTATGGAAGTGTTATGTCCTAATTGTCTACTTCATCAATTTTGTCCTTGAAAAATTTTCAAATTTCCTCTAAAGTACAGTTGAATAATGTTTCTCTCTTTAAGATTAAAGCACTCTTGTCTTCCAATGTTAGAACCAATAAGGCATTGTTTTGTGTTTTAACAATCATGTTGTATGAAAAAATACATTTATGTAAACACAAACATGAGACTTGTTAGAGTGAAATGCTCACAACTAGAACAGAAAACACCCAAGGAAACATTACCACCTCTCAGGACCTGCACTTACTGCAAAGAATGGCCTAGTTGAGGGAATTGCTTGAACTATTTCAATTATTTCTTCTCTTGAAGACTTACTGTTAAATTTGCATAAATTAAATGCATGTATGAGGTGATCCCACTCTTTGTAAGTGCATTTATTTAGCTTCCACGTTAAAATCATTCTTTGGTCCTATCTCTCTTTCTTTGCTCAGACCATCAGCAATGACCCAAATGCAGGGAGAAGAGTCTCTTGATTTGAAGAGAAGACGGATTCACCAATGTGACTTTGCAGGATGCAACAAAGTGTACACCAAAAGCTCCCACCTGAAAGCCCACCGCAGAATCCATACAGGTCTGCCCACCTCCACTCCATCCCCAACATACATACACACACACACACACACACACACACACACAAGTCTGAGAGATCGGAGGAAAGAAAGTCTTGAAACAAAGACTGATCCATTTATACACATGGGCCCAAGCTTCATTAGTGGATTTTACTCTTACGTCTTGTTCTTACTCACATGTGGCTTTTATAAAGCCAAACTAGGAAAACACTAAGTCTGGTGTCTTCTGAATAGGCATTACCCCACTGAGAACCTGTGGCTCTTTCTAACTGGTAAATAATAACATTTATGTTAAAATTAAGCAGCTGAGACACCACTCCTTCCCTTATTACCACAGCGCCACAGGTTTTGTTGAGTATTGAAAAACAGAAAGGCAGTTTAAACCGAGTGAAATTAAAGCAGGCTTTTGGAGCTAAGCACAATACACCAACCTATAACATGCTCTTGTTCACTAGAAAAAAGGGTGCACATTAAAAAAAATAGTAAGTAAAGCAGACCTGGTAGGGATGTGTCAAACCTGAGGGCACCTGCCCCCTCTGAAACAGAATTGTCACTCAACTCCAACTAATTATTACCAAATTTACCAAATTTTAAAGAAAAGCAGAAAATTAATACTTTTATGTGAAATATGCTAGAATTTGGATGTTGGCCTATAATGTAAAAAGTTTTATAGCACCATGGAATCAAAGTAGCTTGCCTATGGGCCAGATGTAGATCGTCAATCATTAGTTTATACCCTCTGCTTTGTAGACTCCTTCTCCCCAGTCATCTCTAGCTCAGAATTGAGGCTTGGACACCATGGATAAGAAAAGGGCCTTTCTTTCTTGTAAACATGCATTGTGTTAACACTTGCTTTGTTAGGATTTGTATGTAGGACACCAGAATCCTAGTTGCTGTGCCCTGAAGCTCTGAACAGGTGACAAATTTCCAGGTTGCATTGTCCCAACATTCCTGTGGCACTCTTCTTATTCGTTGATGTTTTGTTTGTCTCTCCTTCATGTAGAGTACAGGCTTATTCCACACACATGTGTGTGAGTGTGTATATATGTGTGTGTATATATATGTATTTTTGTGTATAAACATAAATATATATTAAGTATTTGAACTTAAAATTTCAACATGTAAAAGTAAAATAGTTTAGTGGACTTTCAAGTATGCTTCACCCAATTTAACAATTATATCAGTATATGCCCAATTTTGCGTTCTCCACATCCCTACTGACTCCCCCAATCTGTGGTGTATTATTTTGGACAATATTACAGACATCATATAATCTTAATCATAAATACTTCAACATGTTTTTTAAAAAGATAAAGATTTTTAAAAATAGGCACAATATTACTATCACATACAAATTCCTTAATATTGATTTTTCTTAATATTGATATCACATTTCATAATATCAAATTTCCCCAACAGTCTAATAAATGTTTTTTTAATATTTGTTCAAATTAAAATTTAAACAAAGCTCATATATTAAATAATTTAGTCAACATGAGAAGGAGAGAGCTATGACAAAAGTTTGAGGAAATAGTGTTCTTTGCTAGGCAGAATACAAAAGCTGCTGTGATATGGGAGTAAGCTTGTCTTCTTTTTTTTTTTCAATATATGAAATTTATTGTCAAATTGG